CCTTCCATTCCTAGCAAGAAGCCAAGAATACTTGGTACACAATGAATGAACAATAAACATTTGTTGAAAAAAATGAATGGCCATCTATCGTATTCTTTGCTCAAGGGATATTCTGATAGCTCACTGCTACATAAGACTTCAACATCAAGTACAAGTGCCTCCTCTCCTGGGCTCTGTAGAGAGCCAGCAGCCACCTTCCTCCAGATGTTTCTTTTATCCCAACTCCTAAGTAAACAAATCCTCTTTCAGGACTTCCCATTGCCCTCCTCTTTAGGCAGGTTCTCTCACATACATGTATACAGACAAGAGAGACATCCTTGGTAACTAAAAGCACTGTTTTCTCCAATTTGAATATTGTTTAAGTCAGAAATTAAAAAGAAATCCTTTCACCCTGCAGGGATTTGATCTTTGATTCCAATCGGAAAACAGTGATAATTTGGAGGATTTTTGACTTAAGAGAAATGCTGTTGACCCAAAAGTCATCATGGTACATTGAAAAGCATGAGGTTTCTAAGGGAGGAAAAGTGAGACTCAGTTTAGAGAAATTATTTCACTTACTATTGGCTCTACTGTACTATACCCAGGAGTCATTAAATCTGTGGCTGCCTGTAAATAACTTAATTTGTTTAGACTTCATTTAAACTTTTTTTCTTAAGAGAAGTATACTCCTATGTTACACACACACACACACACACACACACACACACAACTAATCAATGGAATGGTTTCTGTTTCATAAATGTACACGTCACTAGAGGCATTTAATATAGATCATGTTTAGTTTATGATTACAAAGTTACCTTTTATAATGATAATTACATGTCAAAATTGAGTTCGTTAAGACTCACCATTTCCAATTAACAAGTCAGATGCCCAATTGGGTGCTGGTTTTCGAATACCCTGACTGGTCACAATTGGTTCATGTTTGAAGTCATTCTGTGGAGGAATTTATTTAGTATGTCCCATCTTCTCCCTTAGGAGTTTAGCACCTGCTGGGAGCTTCAGGACTCTCAGTTCTAAACCTCTAAGCGAGTAGGGGCAGGGGGTGAAGCCTGTTCTGTCATCTCCAGAGCAAAGCTGTAGGGCTCTTCTCTTTCTAGAAATGACTGCAATAAGGGAGAAATCTCTCTTGGGTGGCCTGTGAGGTCAGTCAGCACTGTACCTTAGGCCTTGTTTGAACCCTCTAAAAAAGATGTATGGGTCAGATCTCTGGAAGCTCCCTGGAATAGGGCCTCTGATAGTGGTAATACATGCCAGTTAAAAATTAAAAGATGAACTCTGGGTCTTGAGGTAGCAATGAACTCTTCAGGGATGGGACATGTGTTCCTGGCATTTTGACAAAGGACGCAACAAATATTATTACATTAGAACAGGATCTCCAAGGAAAGAACTAATAGTAATAACAAATAAAAAATTTATTACAAACTGAGAAACACACATTGACCATTTTAGTTGGACTCACGAGAGTGTACTATAGTTTTTAAATTTAGAATTTGGAAATAAAGGGGTTTTAGTCAGTTGTTTTCTACTGGTTAAAAACTTAACTGTCAGTTTTTAAAAGTTGTATCAATAAGAAAAAGATATTACAGAATAAAATTACAAGAGAAAATTAACAATTATGACTTGAACAACCCTTTGCACATACTTAATACTAGCGCAAACTATTTTAAATGAGAGATATTGACTAACAGTCTGTGCCGGGCAACACGGTGAATAGATTAATAACTGTTGCTACTTAACAATGAGTCAATTTGTTTAAATTTCTTCTAAAAGACAGTATGTTGACCAAATCAAATAGACTTTTGCTGAATTTTAGTCTGTATTAAAAAACTTAAAAAATATATGTTGAAATTTGCAGTTGAATTTGTTAAGGAAAATAATTGCTATTTTATCATTGAAGACAGGATTCACAAAGATGCATTCTGTAATAATTCAAGCCTTTTAAGATTCCTTTCCTAGGAAATAGCAATAAGCAGACAAATTACTCCTCTGCATGAATATCTTTTGATTTAAAACTGGTATGATGTTCATTAAAATAATTGAAAGAATTATATACAATTAGTGAGCTAGTTATGCCTAAGGAGCAGACACTGGCTCTTCACTCACTTGGCATACTACTTAAATCCCAAACTTCTGCTATTTTTTTAAAGATGGTATACTATATATGGTGACAAATTAAATATTTAGAGATTACTAATCAGTAGAACTAAAACTGCATCCTTCAATAACCGAGGACCATACAGACATCACAGTTCAAAGACACAGTTCAGAATACTGATTTCCTAAAAGCACCCAACTGCAGAACAACAGATGGTCTATGAACAATAAAGATTCTAACGAAATACACGTTCCAGCATGACATATAAAGCATGTGGTATGAAATCATAAGCAGTATACAGGAAAACTAATTAATCATCGTCACCAACAAAATAACACATAGAGAGGCACAGGGGGTCCCAGGTAAGCCGAAAGTGGGCGACTCCATTTCTAACAATTGAGTAACAACTGAGCACGGGAGATACTTGACACAATTGTTTCCAACAACGTTTAAAAACTACAGGCTTAGGCTGGGAGCAGTGGCTCACGCCTGTAATCCCAGCACTTTGGGAGGCCAAGGAGGGTGGATCACGAGGTCAAGAGATTGAGACCATCCTGGTCAACATGGTGAAACCCCGTCTCTACTAAAAATACAAAAAATTAGCTGGGCATGGTGGTGCGTGCCTGTAATCCCAGCTACTCGGGAGGCTGAGGCAGGAGAATTGCCTGAGCCCAGGAGGCGGAGGTTGCGGTGAGCCGAGATGGCACCATTCCACCCCAGCCTGGGTAACAAGAGTAAACCTCCGCCCATAAAAAAAAAAAAAAAAAAAACTCAAATTAATATAAATTTCTACACCCAACATGCCCTTACACCTCCTCTAGTGCAATTATAACTGCTCATTCGTTTTTTGATGAAGAGCTCAGTCTGGTGTTTCTCTGTCACTCCCTCAACACCCAGGGCCGTGCTCCTCACCGCAGGACTCAACACATGTTCATCTCAGGAATGGCCCTCCCTGCTTACTTCCTCGGCCCTTTAACCCAGGTAAAGTCTACTCTCCCAACTGGGCTTGTCCTGAGAGTTGGATTCAAAGAGATCTACATCTACTTCTTCCCCTTTAAACATCATGGCAACACGAATTTTTTCATAATGGAAGCTGCCTCTTGGGGGCTGTGCCTGCTACAGGGCTGTTCCTTAGGTTCTCATGGTAAGTCTTCCAACTGCATTTTTTAAAATTATCCCTTTCCCCCACCCTCATCTCACTCACTTAAAAAACAAAACAAAAAACCACCTTTTTCTTCCTTTCACAAAACTAAACCAAATTAATCAAACAAACAAAAAACCTTACTTCCAAACAAAGCTTACACAATTTAAAACCACTGTTACAGTAGCTGAGCCGATCGTTCATAACCAGCATTTCCTCATTCCAAACCACATCATCTATAAACCCGATAAAACACATTTCACTAGCTTGTGTTTCCTTTTCCAATTTACACGTGACCAAATAAATCTGGCAGGAAACGTGATATGTGGAGTGAACTTCAAATTTTTAATTCAAACCTATTTCCTATTATTCTTTTTCTTTTAAGGCTAAAGGCTTTCCAGAACAATTATGCTATGATAACACAGTGCTTTTAGGGCTAGTGTAAGAGTTTTCCAGAACAATTACCTTATGATAACATAGCGTCCAACTTCTAACGTCTCAAAATGCAAACTCAAACTACTTACGAAATACTAAGTTTACAACAAGCTGGACAACCAAGTTTTTAAAAACTGGACAATTTCTTCCACACAGATTAAATACATGTGCAGATTTATATAATTATATAGAAAATTATTTTCAGCTCTGTTTAGTATTATTAGAATGTTGTTTGAAATCTTGGATTATACATTAGGCTTTCTTTGCTGTTCTCCTTGTATAGGACAGGACTTTCCATGGAGAACACTCAAATATTTTATTCACAGACTATAAAACCTGGTAACAGTGGCTTATAAATAAGTAACCTTCTTAACATACTACATTCTCTCCAAGGCTAGAAAAGTAATATTGGCCATATCAGATCCTTGGCTTTCAAAGTTAAAACAACTACTATTCCTTAACAATGGCGTCATCTAAAAATTACTAAAATTAAAAGCTAATGTAGAAACATTTGGACATATAAGTAACCAAAACTTAGTCTTACCACCATCTTCTCAGGTGATAAGGAATTACTAAGAAGTAAACATTTTAGTAAAACATAAACATATTGAACGCAGAGGATGACAGAAGCACATACAGTTGTTTCATGGTGAAATGAGAAGTAGCTATGCTGATCAGTATAACTTTTAAAATAATAGAATTCAGATAAAATTTTCCTCAGAGTGAAAAGGTATTAGCAACCTAAATAGTCTAGTTACAGGGCCAGATGGATTTGCTATATCAAAGTTAGAAAATGGGTAAGGAAGGAAGGCCTACAGTTAGGTAAACAGTACAGAGTGCATTCCATCTTCTAAAGTACATCCAATCAGATTAATGGAACAGAATCTCATCTAAACAGAAGCCCAAATTTAAGGGTTTGTCAAAAAATTGTGTAACAAAAACAAAAAATTGTGTAACCACGAAAGAGTCACCCTATATATATATATTTTTGATTTGAAAAAGTCTTTCCCCACATTTTTAATGGCGTATTTACAATTTTATTTGAAGATATTTTCCTGTCACAAAAACTTGTAAGAGCTACTTAACCTATTTCTCCTAATTAAGAATTTCCCCACTGTGGCTACAGGGTCTTAGAAGGGGGCCGAAGCTTCGGCTTTATTCACTTCACTAGCAGCCTCTTCAGGATGTTTCTGAAAGAATTGTCTGGGTGTGAAAGAGTGTTTTGTTTAGTCTGATTTCAAAAGGTGAGATTTGTTTGTTTATTTTTTACAACAATGGCACAGTCCAGTGAATAGGGTAACACTGACGTCAGAGGATGTGTCTTACCATACAGGTATCCAGATCTTCCAAACGCTCTATCTCTGTTAGCTCCTCCACTGTGATGATGGAGCGTTTAACTGGCTTCTCCTCGGCCAGCTCGATCTCTAAGGATTCTTGCTGAGGAATGGTCTTGCCACGTCTGCTGAAATGGTCAGCCTAGAAGTGTACAAGGAGAAATTAAAGCAGAGAGACAGAAGTGCTGGCTACCTGAATTCCTGCAGACGTCTTCCACAGGATGGCACAGTGGAGCACAACGCTGGCTAAGTGCTAGGAACAATTCTTAACGCATTCACAGTACAGTAACTTCTTTTATTATCTTTCTTTGGACGACAGAGTGTTTTAAGCAATAAATTATCTCTTTTGGCAAATAAAGAGACAACTTGGTAGCGTTCTTTTTATTAATTTTATTTGATATTTCCTCTGAAGAAATTTCCTTCTATATCTGGTACTTAAAAAGTATCTGACAGTAATAAAGTAATAAAACAATTCCTACTTTCATTATTTATTATTATTATTATTTTTTGAGACAGAATCTTGCCCTGTTGCCCAGGTTGGAGTGCAGTGGGTTGATCTCAGCTGACTGCAACCTCCACCCGGGTTCAAGCGATTCTCCTGCCTCAGCCTCCTGAGTAGCTGGGACCATAGGCGCGTGCCACCATGCCTGGCTAGTTTTTTTGTATTTTTAGTAGAGACAGGGTTGCACCGTGCTCGCCAGGGTGGTCTTGATCTCCTGACCTCGCAATCCTCCCACCTTGGCCTCCCAAAGTGCTGGGATTACAGGCATGAGCCACCGCACCTAACCTTTCATTATTCTTAAAGGTCTGAAAGGAAGGATATTACTGGCAAAATTTTACTTACTGCTAGCTTTCACTGTTTTCATATAATGAACACCATATTTGATATGCTTTCTTAATTTCCAGTGTTATACTTGAGGTAAACATAAAATTAAATAATAAGAGGTAGAATAAGCTTGGCTGAAATTAATAAACTTCAGTGCTGAGCTGATCTGACACCAGGAACTTAGATTTAATTCTTTTGAAACAATGAGAACCAGTTGGCAAGTCCATGGAAATTTTGAGAACACTGACAAACTTACGCTGGAGAAAATGGTATCTGAAAGTCATTGAAAACAAAGTTTCATATTGAAGACAGTATTTCCTGCATATGGCACTTAATCTCTTTCCTTATAATCTAAATCAGCACTATTAGTGTTAAAATGAAGCTCAAACCAAAAGTGCATTCAGTAAATTTTTTTCTCATGTAAAAAAATAATCAATACTTTCTGAGTAAGTTCTGTAAGAAAGAACAAAACAAAAAAGTGAAAAATGCAAACTTTCAGTGTAGTGCTCACATGCAGATTTCTGTTAGTACCGTATCTAGTATTTGTGCCGCAAGTAAGCATTTTAAGGGCATTCCTGGAGGTATGGGTTGTCAGTAAACTGTTTCTAAAAACAGTTTATTTTAAAAGAAGACTCTAGGCCAGGTGCGGTGGCTCACACCTGTAATCCCAGCACTTTGGGATGCCGAGGCAGCCAGATCACTTGTGATCAGGAGTTTGAGACCAGCCTGGCCAACATGCATGGTGAAATCCCACTTCTACTAAAAATACAAAAATTAGCTGGGCATGGTAGCACACCCCTGTAGTCCCAGTTACTCAGGAAGCTGAGGCGGAAGAATCACTTGAACCTGGGAGGCGGAGGTTGCAGAAAGCCGAGATTGTGCCACTGCCCTCTGGCCTGGGTGACAGAGCCAGATTCCATCTCTAAATAAATAAATAAATAGGTGGATGCTCTATTGCTTTTGTTTGGACTTATTTAGAAAAAGAAAAGCCTCAGTTAAGACCTCTAAACAATAATGCAGCTCTTCACTGTGCCAGGAAATAGAGAACAGTGTTTCTTACATTCAATGTGGTGGTAAACTGGTTTTTCATATTTCCAATTTAGCACAAACCAATATACTGTTAAAATATTGTAAAAAAGAAAAATGGGAAAAATGACATGTGTTTGGATACTGTGGCCATGTCAAACTGCTCAAGAAGCTACTGGATGCTTCCTCTGGGGAAGCATCCCTTGGTGGGCCACCTCAGGTCCACAGGCAGCATTTGAGCACTGCTGCCAGAGATGTCTGTCTTGTCTTTCAGATTTTAGAAGAGAGTCTTACACATTTTTCTCCAGTGAATTTTTCAAAACACGCATTTTGTCTGCTTCATGTTGAAGCCATTCCTGTTCCTCTCATTCCAGGATTCTCTCGTGTCACCCAACAATTCAATGCCATAAAATTGGTATCTCCATCCCACACAGTTAAGAAAACATTGAAGAATTTTTTTTTTTTTTTTTTTTTTTAAGACAGAGGCCAGGCGTGGTGGCTCATAGCTGTTATCCCACCACTTTGGGAGGCCCAGGCAGGCGGACCTACCTGAGCTCAGGAGTTTGAGGCCAGCCTGGGCAATATGGTGAAACCCTGTCCCTCCTAAGATACAAAAAATTAGCCGGGCGTGGAAGCATGCACCTGTAGTCCCAGCTACTCGGGAGGCTGAGGCAGGAGAATTGCTTTAACTCGGGAGGTGGAGGTTGCAGTGAGCCGAGATCGTGCCATTGCACTCTAGCCTAAGTGACAGAACTTATGTTCTTGCAGGAAACATTGTTATAACTTTCCTACACTGCATCATATTGAGACATAAGATATAACCAGTTATAAAAGTTTCATCTGTGCCTCAAAGGACTTCCTGAACTTTGTGAAACACCGAGTTTCTGATACACTTTTCATATGCACTGATATTGGGAGGTAAAGTCCCCTACCTTGATGCAGAACCAGTCTCTAGATGAAGGAAATATTTTTTCACCTTGGTTATATCCAAGGCACCAGTTGGGCAGTCAGCAACTATCCATCATTAAATTATGCCCATTTTATTCTTGCACTTTCTTTGGCATTCAAATATTTTTATTTTCTCCCTTGTTTTTAGAATAGTCCATTATCAAGTAATCATATCAGAGACCAAGCAACAAAATGAGCAACGACAATTAAAATGTGAATTTCACACCTCAGTCTCAACATCTCTTCCTGAAACTTTTGACCTTTATTATAAATGAACAATAAGATTTCTGGGCCGGGCACGGTAGCTCAAGCCTGTAATCCCAGCACTTTGGGAGGCCGAGGCGGGTGGATCACGAGGTCAAGAGATCGAGACCATCCTGGTCAACATGGTGAAACCCTGTCTCTACTAAAAAAAAAAAATACAAAAAATTAGCTGGGCATGGTGGTGCGTGCCTGTAATCCCAGCTACTCAGGAGGCTGAGGCAGGAGAATTGCCTGAACCCAGGAGGCGGAGGTTGTGGTGAGCCGAGATCATGCCATTGCACTCCAGCCTGGGTAACATGAGTGAAACTCCGCCTCAAAAAAAAAAAAAAAGATTTCTGGATACAATCACTTCTGCTTTCCCCTGCCATTCCCTCTAGAAGTTTTAACATGCTCCAGAATGGCTAGAAGCAACATAGAAGAGAAAGGAGGAAAATCAAGATCACAAACCATAAAGCTGTAACGGTGTGAAATGTACAAAACAAATCACATCCCCACACTGGAAGCCATACTGCGTCACAGCAGAGATGAAACAGGAGGTCCTGCTTGGGATGTGCACAGCACTCACCAGTTTATGATGGCAATGTGAGAGTGCATCCAGGATTTCGTCCACAATTCGATCAGACAGGAAGGAGGCCACTGTCAACTTTACTTCACTATGTGAAAATCAAAAGGACAGAGAAGCATTTTAATTTGTGCAAGGGGAGAAAAAAATTACTCACCTTTACTGCTATACTGATAAGGTCAACTGTGATTCCACTTCTGTCTTTGAAAGTGGAATATAAGAATGTGTGAACAGGACTAAGGATTTCCAAAAATAAATCTTAAACACTGCCATAAACACACAAGTAATAGACTTTCTTTACCAATTTCAACCTGGCTCTGCAATTTCAAAACTCCAGATTTAATGGTGGAAATGATAAACATCTGGATAAAGATGTTTTTAATGGGAACCATATGTCCCATGCGGTGAGGAACAATTCACCCGTTGACATAAAGGAAAACAAACCTGGGCTGGAGTGAATTAAAACAAACCTAGTCTGGTTGTTAAGTCTTAGTTACTGCTTTTAGTGCACTTATCACCCACCCTCTTCACAAGCTTTTCACCAATCAAACGATACCAGACCTGCTTCTGCTTTGACTGGCCACGCTACTTTGAATATTACAAAATCACCTACCCTTATCTTTTATGAAGAAAGGTCACTAAAATTTTCAGTTCTAGTGCCTGTTGCCAGACCTCAGAAAGTTGTTCACATAGCAGAAAGTGCTTTGTTGTTTTTACTAATAAACAGACTCAGTCACTAAGGTTCTGTCAGATGGCTGGTATTTCTGTTTGCATTTTACCAATCTGGGGGTATTCCCAAGAATTCAACTTCCATGTGTGTTCTCAGTCTGAATATCTCAATGCAGATATGTACAAATGTACATTAAGTACAATACATTTAAAAGTGTGAGAGAAATACATACCTGGATTCTAATACTGTCTCATAAGCTAACGTTGGAAATGTATTTGTGTAACATGGAAAAAATCTTGCCAACCTAAAGGCAATAATTTGCATGGAGACTTCTCTGCTCAGGGATATTTCTCAATAGAAGTACTTACTATTGTTTTGCTTACAGTAAAAATTATCATGGGCTAAATATCAAAATACATTTCTTTAAATTCTGCCCCTGAAACAAGGAATTACTAGCTATTTGCTTTTTCTGATACTTCACTATTCCCCAGAGGTATCTACTGATAACACTCACCCAGGTCTCATATTAAAATACAGGTTACTTGGTCCTACCCCAAACTTTCAGAGTCACCTGAAATTTAATTACTTCCCCTGCTTCTCTTTAGGCATGCTTGGAAATTATACTTCCTCATAAAACTATAGGTTCCATAGTTTATCTTTCTCTCCTTCTCTCTGAAAGTGGGGAGCAGTGGTTTACCTGTTTCAAATTGTAGCAACAAAAAGGATAGCGTCTTAAAAATGCATTTCTTTTTTAATATCTCAGGATCATTCTATCATTTTGCTATTGAATATTATATTTCCTTACTGGTTAAGCTTCCAGTTTGCAAAACTTTTAGAGGAAAAGAGTCAACTTAACCTGCCCATGCAAACATGTATATTTTAAGAATGTATGCATACATTTCATTCTATCAATGTTCAGTATAACGCATTGTAAGAGGAGTTAATGGACACAAATTGATTCACTGATGTGTGTTCTATATGGCTCAACTTCCAGAATTTGGCCATTTTCAAAGGAAATGATCCTATCTGACAGAATTTGATACTCAAGCAAAGCTATCAGAATATGATCTATTAGTGGCTGAAACCATTATGAAAGAATAGTGACCAATACATTATTATTATTTTTTAATAAAATTAAATATAAATTTTATTAAGGATTTCAAGTTACATACTTCAAATTTCTAGAATGGAATGGAATCATCATTTTCTCCTTAATATTTAGGCATCTCTGACAAAAAATTCTGAAACCACAAGTTATAAGAATATGTAAGCACACCTAGTTAAGGGCTAGAGTTCATAAAGTCACTAATCTGTGGGGTCCCATAAACCCTCTAGAAGTCTTTTTTAAAATTCCTCACGTCCTTCCAATTGTCTTACAGGTCAGCTGAGTAGGAATTAGGGGCTTAGTAACATAAATTAAAAACCAACCAAACAAACAAAAAAACCCTAAAGAACCAGACCTGAGATTATTCAGTTACTGCAGAATTTCAGTTCTATCATCTGGCTTTAAAGTCATAAGCCTTTGATATCTAGTTAATGATAATACAGTTTATGGTTTCTTTTGTTTTTGACTCATTTTTCTCATGGATTGTCACTTAGCTACATCACTGTGTGTTAGTACCACCACCAGCTCTACAGACAGGGGCTATGATTTCTGCTACATCTAAATCTTTATCAATATTCAAAAATGGTTAAAAGGGAAAATTTAAAAATGTTTCTGAACTTAAGTCTTTAGTTATCTGAAACATTATGCGAATTAGCTGAGCTATAATGTAATTCTGGTGATGGACCAAGAGTTTCTATGTAAAAATTCAGAAAAGTCTATCAGTAATCACAGCTTCTAAATATTTATATCTTGTCGTATTTTTCAAACTTTTCCAAACAGAAATCTACGTAAATACTGCAAAGCCACCATTAATACACAGAACCACCAAAAAAACCCAGAAGGAAAATATGAGGTCAAGGTGGGCCTCTGCCTATTTATAGGCTGTGCATTTGTTCAGCGTATGGTGGTAAAAAGCAGACTGATATCAATCTTCAAGCTAGTGATTTATAAAGGCGACAGATAAACTTCAGAAACAGAAAACAGGGATTACAAACATGTACCCCCTCTTGAATATAAAACCCTTAAACAGAGCACACAATTCTATTTCCTTAAGTAATACAGGCATATACGTGATTGCCTTATTTTGGAAATGTATAAAACCTATGCATTTATGCACAGTTCTATTTATACATAGTTTCTGCCTATTAAACATGCCTAAACACATTATACATGGATACAGCCAACAATAACCCTCTTTACAGCTGCCTCAACTGCATTCACAGAAACTGCAGCTCCTAGGTTTATTAACATTATAAACCTACCTAATTTTGTTAAGGATATCAATTCCAGACTGCTCCAACAGGACATTTTTAACAAAGGTACGTGGAATAGAAATCTTTTCGGTGCTGGCATGAATCAGGTCTTGCCGAATGTGGGCTTTTTTCATCACATTGGGACAAAGATTCTCAGCAGCATCAACCATGGACTCAAGCAACGCCTGCAATGCAGCACAAGTGAAGGGGAGAGATGATGACACTGCAGTAGAAGCGCCTGCCATAAAACTGAAAGGTGGTTATACATGTCACGGAGCCCTCGGAGAGCAGGGCACAAGGGATTCCCAGAGCGCAGCCAAGAATTCTGAGCTGGCCTGGGGTGACTTGCGACTGCTGGATGATCACTGATCTCTGGTAATCACTTTAAATCAGACACTTGGCAGAACCAGGCAAGCTTCACACTGGCATCTGAAATGTTACGGTATGGCAGCTGTACTTAACACCAAGCCAGTAATCAGAAGATTAAAAATTACAAACACCAAGTCTTTATACACCCGCTTACCACAAGAAATTGTTTTCCCTGGTACTAGAAAATAAAGTCACAGATATCCCTAGAAAATAGATTTGAATGCTATTGAGATTTTGAAGATCACAGAAACCCCAAATTAGGGTGAACCATTGAATTGCTCTATCAAAGTGGCCGTCGCAGAAAAATCACAGAAACGACTGCCAACTTTACTCTTTTAAAAGAAACGCTTTAGTGTTAGGTACAATATTAACTATTATGACAACAATAAACAACATGAAAAATAACAGAAACATTAACAGCACTTTAGAGACTGCATTAATAATACCAGTCAAAACACATTCATACAGCACTTCAGACTTCGAAACATGTTTCTGCACATTTTATCCCTCCAACACCTGTGAAGATGGGCAGGGCAGCTATTCATGTGATCACCACCGAAGAACTGAGTTAAGGGAAGTTAAACGATTTGTCTGAGATGGGTGATACGGCTGGGAAGTGTGGAAAAGGCATCAGCGTTAGCGTCAGACCTAAATTTGAAATCTAGCTGAGTGACACTGGACAAAGTTACTGATCTCTCCGTTTTACTTTCCTTGCCCAAAAAATGACAATAAAAAAGTTCTCACCTCATAGGATTATTGAGGATAAAAAATATTACATGTGTTTGTAATGTGTTCCGAAGAGTGTCTAGCACACAGTAAAAGCTCAGTATGTTGCAGGTATTAAAACCTCAATATATCACAGACATTATTATTAATCTGATTTCAAAGACTGTTCCTAATAAGAAGCCTAGTGTTTGAAAGTGAAGTTCGGATCCTATTAATGGTCCAGTGTGAACAAGGCAATGAAGCACTATTATCCAAAGACTAGTACAATGGTCTGTCTGCTCACATATTAAAATGCAAAGCACTATCCCGTGAGTAAAATTTCTCATCGCACTGCAGGATAAGCAGTAGGGTAGCAGGCTGTTTATAAGGATGATGTGGGAAACCAGGAGGGAGGCAGCCATCTGAGAAGTTTCCAAAAGCCTTTCCTATTTTGACAGTGCTCCGTCCCCATTACAATTCTGGTGGAATAATCACCGAATTAGTATATTTTCCAAGAAAGCTCCTATACCAACCATCTGCAAGAGATACAAATAAGTCAGTTTAAGGCAAACTAGTTTCCTCTTTGATAGTGAAATAAGCATATTTTCTTCTAGATGGAATAATAGTCCGGCACTCTTGATACGAACAACCTCAGGTATCAATACTCCGTTTTAATTCTGTCATGTCCTTAAACATAGCAGTTACTTTCTGAAAGGTCTGTCTGCATGACACTGCTAATTCAGTTCGAATGAACTCCAGACCTAAAGAAAAGAGGCCTGGCTTCCAATGTAAACTCTGGCATGAAATTTCTGTGGAATGGTAAATGAGTCGTGTTCAGTGAACAATCTTTGCAGATATCTGCATTCTCATCTGTAAAATTATTTAAGGTCTCTTTCTGCTTCATGCTCACATAACTTTGACCCTATAAAAAGGAATTTTAGCCTGCCTCAGGCATTCAATGAATTCAATAAATATTTTGCAGTTAGTTCCTTACTACCACCGCGATCCCAACAGTACAATACAGCACTGTAAAACTAACTTCATCCAGGATTTCCTCTGATCTACGTAACAACTCTGTAGGTGAAGCGAGACTTTAGATGAGGGCACTGGGGCTCACGGGAGATAAGTGACTTGTCTGAGGTCACTCAGATGGTCACTGGAGTTAGTGAGATGGGGACTCATGCCTTTTGTTTCCTACTCTTGTCTCCTATTCTATCCATCCTCATCTAATGGCCCCAATCAGTGTCCAAAGGAATGTGCCTTTCTTCTCTGCTGCATTACGTATAAGTTTGTTCCCTTGTTCTCTTAGGTAAACAGTATCTAAGGCTGCCAGGGTGAACTCTGTAGCGGCAGGGCTGGGAGAGAGATGAGAGAGGATGGCAGCCTTTCCTTCATGCCCCATGGAGCTCTGCACGCCAGACCCTGTTCAACATCCATCCTTTCAATGGCTTCAAACTGTATTCCAATGAGTGTCAATCAAACGTTTGCCGACAATCACCCATACAATGCGTACGATATAATACACATACAATACAGCCTAGGAAGCCTTTCTACCTGAATATTCTGCCATGGAAAGGTCAGCTGCAACATGCTGTCCTCCCCTCTCCGCTCAAACAGCAACAACGACACCAGTAAAGCCAACCTTTCTTGCTAAGTGCTTCACTGTGAAGAATGGTACCCGACTAGGTGAGAAGTGTGTACGTCTCACTAGACTCCACCTACCTCAACCCCTTTCACCACATCTATCTCCAAACATACTAGATTTATTCCTAGATATTTCCTCAAAAGCAGAAATATGTCAAAATTATCACTCTTTGGCACAGAATAAAACTCCCTGAAGTAGCTGGTAGATGCCGAGCTTGCCAGCCCCATTTCTCGCCATATCTGTGTATTTCCTTTGTAACAATTCATAACCCAATCATAGTTGCAGCTTTCCATATGATTCAGGCTCTGTTTCCATGCTTTGTGCACTGCTTTCTTGGCCTAGATTCCTCCATTTTCCCCTCTGAGCCAGGATAAAACATCTCTACTCCTCTATACTCAGCTCAGTATTTTTCTTTCAGAAGACTCTCTTCCCTACTCTCTTCACACTCCAAGCTCTATTTGATGACGTGCACTCTTTCGGAATGCTGTAACAGCAGGAACCTCAGTGATCAAAAATAAAATAAAATACTCAAGAAGTGATTTTTACCCATTTTTGGGTCAAGACACTCCTTTGAAAATCTAAACGCTCATTCAGAAAAATTTATATGCAATTTTAATAGAATCCTGGTAGTTCCAAGAGCTAGAGTTATCGGACTCCAGAAACAGAGTTTGAACCTGGTGGCAGTTGTGAAGTCCCACCTTACATCCTCAGGGCCTGGCATATTTCTTAAAACATTTAAAAAGTATTACAGGTCCAAGGACTTGCTGAGTATGGGTACTGTATAGTCCATCTTTTCTGTACTAAACTTCAGTGCTACCTGTGTCATTTCTAACATTTGAATATATGCATGGCTCCATTTCTGGGCCCTGTTTTTTTGGGTCATCTACCTCTGCATATTGTTCTAATTATCCTAAGTCTTAACATGTAGCAGAATGAGACTCCCAAGCTTCTTGTTCTTCTTTACATGTGTCTGGGCTATTCTTGAGCACTGCTTTTCCACATGTTTAGAATCAGCTTTGTCAAGTTCTATTAAAAACTTATCAGAATGTCTACTATAATTATCAAATAACAGACAAATTTGGGGAAAAACTGACAACTGTAACAATAACTTTTCCTACCCATAAACATGTCACATATTTTTGTTTTAGAATTTCTTTAAAGTCTCTCAATAAACTTTCTCCATTGAGGCGTTATAGATTGATGTGAATTATTTCCTAGGTGCTTTAGATTTTTGTTACTATTTTATTATTATTATTTTGAGATTAAGTCTCACTCTGCTGCCCAGGATGGAGTGCAATTGGCGTGATCTCAGTTCGCTGTAACCTCCACCTCCCAGCTTCGAGCTATTCTCCTGCCTGCGCCTTCCGCGTAGCTGGGATTACAGGCACCTGCCACCACATCGGGCTAATTTTTTTGTAATTTTTTAGCAGAGATGGGGTTTTGCCATGTTACCCAGGCTGGTCTTAAGCTCCTGACCTCAAGCAATCCACTTCACTTGGCCTCCCAAAGTGCTGGGATTACAGGTGTGAGCCACCACGCCAAGCCCTCCGCTACTATTTAAGATGGTGACTATTTTTAATGACATTTTCAGATGGTGACTATTTTTAACAACATTTTCTAACGAATTGTTGCTCACATAGAGAAACACAAATTTTTTTTTTTTTTTGATACAGGATCTCATTCTACCACCCAGGCTGGAGTGCAGTGGCACAATCATAGCTCACCCCCACCTTGAAGAGCTGGGACTATAGTCACGGGCCACAATGTCCAACTAATTTTTAAAATTTTTGTAGAGACAAGGGCTTGCTGTGTTGTTCAGGCTGGTCTCAAATTCTTTGGTTCAAGTGGTCTTCCAGCCTCAGCCTCCCAAGTGCTGGGATTACAGGTGAGAGCCACCATGCCTGGCCTAATCTTTTACATACTGCTCTACATCTCGAAACCTTATCACACGGATTCAATAACTTACTTGCAGATTCTTTGGGTTTTTTTATGTAGGCCATCATAAAATCTGCAAATTCTATTAATTTTTCTTCCTTTTTAATTTTTACATTTCTCATTTCTTTTGCTTGTTATATTGCACTGCCTAAGACCTTCAGTATAAAGTTGAATAGAAGTGATAATAAACATCTCTGCCTTATTCCTGAATTTAAAGAAAATATTTTCCCCCATTAAAAAAAAAATCTAGACCTACAAAAATTGAAAAAAAAAAAAAGGACAATAAGCATCTATATCCTACTCCTAAAATTTACCAGTTGCAAATAATTTGGAATATTTGTTTCTCCCTCTCTGAAATATCTGAAAGCATGTTGTAGGCATCATGACCCTCACTGCTAACTTCTTAAATGATCTACGTTTAGCTCATTAGTTTTCAGCCTCTCCTCACTTCCAATATTGGTATCTAAAAGTATGTATCTCGCCCTATGTACCGGTTTAGTTGCATCCTACAAGTTCTTATATCACTAATAC